CTTTACTAGCTAAGCTATCTAGCACCTTCCTATTGAGAATTTTTCCTGTAATTGTAGTACAAAACCCTTGAATGTTGTTACACCTAAGCTACTAACCATTTGTTGCCAATAAGAGTTCATGGAAAGCATGATAGGACTGAGCTTTGGAAAGATGCAAATTTGAGTGCAAGAGTATGGGAGTGTGACCTTAATACGTTTCTGCAACCTACAGTCCCAGTGTAGGGGTGTTCTTGATGGCTAAAAATCTGAACTTAGAAACTATTTTCCCTTTGAAAAATTTATTGCAGCCAACTTGGTTGTTTTGGCAGGTGAGCGAAACATAAGAGGAGACTTGATGTGCCCAAAAGGAATGCAAAGATGACAAAGAAGCAGCTCGGGGATTTCAATGGCTGGTGTTCACCTAGTTGCTTAGGGCCAAAGTCTATGGAGATAAGACACATCAGACCACACCTTCAATGGCATTATTGTTCTTTAGTAGCTTGCATCAACCGAACTGCTGCTAGAGAATCAGTAAGAGGTCACCATGTAAAGGAACATAGTGGTGGACAGCATGTTCAAACAGAAGTCAACATAGAGATTGCCCTATTACAGAAGATAATAAAGGAACATTTGAGGCTTCAACTAGACGTGTAGGATGACCTATATTGTAACTTTTGAAAGAATGAAAATGCAATACAACTACAAGAACTTGCTAGATATTGAAGAATGAAAGAGAAATCATGTTGATTTGTCAGTTAATGAAAAATTACATCAGAGGACAGATTGAAAATGTGATGTTCCGGGATATTTAATCCAATTGGTTTCTAGATTGTTTCCGTCTAAATCCATTACTTTTAAACTTTTATTCAGTTTCGAGACCTCGTAGACTGTGTGATGTTACTACACTACATAACTTCCTTGTTTAAACTCCTAAGTTTTGTTCTGGGATAAAACCTAGAGTTTTGGACGTAAAGGCGGAACTGGGACGAGAGTGGGAAATCCTTTAGAACCTCATTTGGACCACTAAACATTTCCGCACGTGTGCGGTTGGAACTGCACGTGCAAAAGAGGGGGGACCGCATGAGCAGGGGTGAGGATCGCACGTGCAAGAAGAGTTGAAAGTTTGAGTTTGCTTCTGAAATAAAAGCACGTGCGGAGGTGGTTTTCCACACGTGCGGAGAAGAGCTCCCCACGTGCGGTGAACAGGTCTCGCATATGCGGAAATGATTGGGTCCCAACTCTGAATTTCGAGAATCTCACCTTTTTGACCCCTTTTCTCATCTTTTTCTCCCATTTCAACAATACCTCTCTCTCTCTAAAACCTTTTCTCATCTTTTCTTCTCTCTATCTCTAACCCTCACCCAAATCTGATCTTAAATCTTCACTCTCTCCTTGTTCTTGGAAAATCTATAGCTTTTTAGACCCTAGTGCTTGAGGCCAATTTGGAGAGCATTTCAAGAGCTTCACTTTGTGCGGTAGAGATCAAATTTTGACACAGCCAATTTTAGGGCATTTCTCTCATCTTTCTCCTAGAGCTTGAGGTAGGGAGTTTTTTTGAGTTATATATATGTTTTAGCAAATCTATTGCCATTTTGATGAAATAATTGTGTAGTTTGAGTTAGGGTTTGGTTTGGAAGATTTTTTATTTTCAAAAAGGGTTTTTCTCAAATGTTTTCTTCAATCCATAAGAAAATACGAATGTGATAGTTGAGAGCTCCATTTTGTAAAAATCTTTCCAAAATGAGAAACCCTAATTTTTGTGAAAACCCTAGGTTTTGGAAATTTGGGAAAAAGTTGAGATTGTGTGGAATTATACATTGTTGAGAAATGATGAAGAAATTGGCACGTTCATTCTTATTGTTGAAAACCCATGGAAAATAGAGACTGATGTTCAGAAATTATGAGAATAGTATGTTGTTATACTTGTTTTGAGAAGATAAAGAATTGAAAGGATGATTATCCTATTGAAATTTTTTCGATTATATGAGAAAGAAAATACATATGATGATGTGTTGCTATTATCTCTTCGAACATATTGTGTATACATATAATGAGTAGAGATGTGGTATTTGATCACAATTGAGAACTGTGTTGTTGAGATTGGAAATTATTGAGGAAAATTGAACTTTGCAAAATGTTGATAAATTGTTTTGTCATCTCATCTCATTCTCATTGCTTTTCAAATTGGCATTGTCGAGGTTACACTTTGGAAAAGAAGTATTTGTGAAACAAACTTTCGTTTTGAGTTGTGTTGGGATAAATACGTTTGGTAAGTGTGGTTAGGGGGTGTATAGTTGAGAACTAAGTTGGCTTGAGGTCTACGGTGAAAGTCCAAAAACTCATGCAGAGTAGGCACCAAGTTCCTTCCGGTTAAGAGCCAGTAAAGTGGTTTTGGTGGTGCTTGAGAGCCTACTTACAGACACCAGCTTAGAAATTACTTAAATCGTATTTACCACCCCTTGATTATATAATGAAATCATTGAATTGATTATGTTTCCGAATAAGCATTTTGCATGAGATTTTAAAATGAGAAAAATTTACATTTTTGAGTATGACATGGCATTTGCATCCATCTCATGATGATTGCTTAAAATGTATATACTTTGACAAGATTTCCCAACTAGGCTTCATGCTCACCCCTAGTGGAACCGCTGGCAGGTAAAGATGCTGTGACCCCGCCAAAGTAGGGGTATAGGGGACTTTTGGAGCGCATGACTCAGTTACTTGTAATCTGTTTTTGAGAAGCCAAGGGCTATATTTGTATGGATTTGATAACCATTCCATGTAACCTGGCATAAGCCTTGGAACTTGTAGCCCACGACACATTATTTTGTACCTAGTTTACTTAATTATTCTCATCACATGCCATAGATTCACATTCTAGAAAGTGTTGAATCTATAATTGCATGTGGAGCATTTCCTAAATCTCATGGGTATATTATGAAATACTGTTAAAATCCAACTACTCTCCACCTACTTCACCCACTTAAACCTACTCCACTAAACCTAACCCACTACACCACTACCACCTCACCTACTCCACTAAACCTAACCCACTAAATCCACATACTCTCCACCTACTTCACCCACTTAAACCTACTCCACTAAACCTAACCCACTACACCACTACCACCTCCACTTCACCTACTCCTTACCTACTACACACTCACCCTCTTCTATATATAGGAATCATGAATCATTGTGTAATAGATCAATATAAATCAATCAATAATACATCAATTTTAACATGGTATCAGAGCAGGTTTAAAACCTACTATTTTCGCTTCCCGGCGGGCGGCAACCTCATCTTAGCTGCCCGCCGGACCTCAACCTAGTCTGCTAGTATTTTCTACACATACCTTTCCATCATTGTCCAAATCTCCTCCTCTTCCTCTGTGCTCCTGGATCAAATCAGAGGATTTACTTCTGATTTGCTGGCTCCCACACATGACATGGGCATACTCTCAGACCTTCCAGCTCCTGTGGCAGCTGTCAAAGAATCCCAGCTCCAAAATTTTGTATGATGAGCACAATCCTGAGCGTTATCCTCCTGGCGACCCAAGCAAGCGTGCATTCGCATACTTCGTCTTGACTGGTGGCAGGTTTGTGTATGCTTCCTTGATCCGTCTCCTGGTACTCAAGTTTGTTTTGAGCATGTCTGCAAGTAAAGATGTTCTTGCCCTTGCCTCCCTTGAGGTAGACCTCTCCAGCCTCCTCTCTTTGGTACACAAACAAACACCCGAAACATAATGCTCTAGGCATCTTCATTCTCTGTTCTTCAATCTTTGATCTTCTCTGATTTGTGAGACATCATCAATGGCCGACAAAGTGATTCTCTTGGTGTTAAGTAAAGATGTTTTTTTATTCTCTCTTTTCTTTATCTTTTTTTATTCTTATTCTTATTATTAAACCAACACAACCAATAGTGCATGCTGAGCTCAATTCAACTCTTGATTTAAACAGAATACACATGCGCGCAGTTATGATTTGTTCTACTTTCTGAAAAATTACAAAGATAAGAAATCCAAACGCAGTGGAATAGGGACAGTTCTGGCTATGGTCACAACAACAAAAACAAAGAAACAAAGAAACAAAACTATGATTAACCTACCCCACCCATCCACTCCAAGCAGAATGAAACTAGATGGAGAGACTTATAACCATTGGGTTAGCAGATGCAGAAAGGGTTTAGTAAGTGGACTCAATCTTAGAGTTTAGTCTAACAATGCATGCCTGACAAAACTAAAACTCATAACACTTCTCACCCCCAAAAAACTAACTCACGAATGACATATATATGTATGCAAAACCAAAGTTAGGTTCAGCTACTACTACATGTACGATATGTCTTCATTGCGCCACAGTATCCCCATCCGTCCTTTGAGCTGGGACTGACCCATGCACATGCATAGATCACCACTAAAAAACTGCTTTACAATAGATCTGCTACAATATATCAGCATAACAGTATCATATGTACCTTGATGTAATATTCATGAGATCCTAAATACTATACCAAGTAGAAGGATGATCAGCCACATTGTGACTAGATGAAAGCTAACTTACGGGGAGAGAGAGTAACCACAGTAGGTCAATTCACTAGTTTCAATAAATATAGCCATGAGAGCAAATATTGAAGTGGTGAGAGTGAGAGTGAGAGTGAGATTGAGATGACATAACACCATTTGGCTTTCTCAGAACATTCCAAGATGTGCTTTTATTTTATGGCTCCTATGCCAAGAAAGATTGGCCACTAAAGATAGGCTAAAGGAATGGGGGATGGCAGTTGAACCTAAATGTGGTCTGTAACATTCCAGAAGAATCTCAGAGCATTTACTTTTGGAATGCCCATTTACTTCCCTCATTTGGATAATGTGCTTCAGAAAAATGAGATCAGTAGATACCCTCAAAGCTGGAGTGAGGAGGTTCTTTGGACAGTCCAGTATTGTAAGAAGTATAATTTCCTAACTGCTGTTTTCAAGCTTTTAATGGCTGTTGCAGTCTACCATGAAAGGAAAGAAATAGAAGAATCTTCACCCAAAAAAGAAATGGACCTTTGATTATGAAAGCTATTGGGGAAGATGTGAGGTTTAGAATCAATACTTCGAGAACGGTTAAGAATAACTTTGCAAATTGGCAGACGTGTTAACAGTGGGATATTGCTGTACTGATACACTTTGATAAAAGTCGTTAGTGTACCATGATGTCAGTTTTTTTTTTTTTTTTTTAGAACACAAAACAAAAGATATTTATATTTATATCAATTCAGTACAAAGTTTAGGATTAAAAAAAGTTCTGTTTTTAGGCTTATAGTCTTTAGATGTTGTGCGAACAGTCTTGCTGTGCTTGCAACAATTTGTTTGTGCTAGGGGAATGACCCTTCAGCTGATGTACATTTTGTCTCCCACTCAGACCTACTGGACGTCAGGATCATACAATCATTCTGATAACTGAGACTCAGGAGACCTACCACTTCATTTTGGTGTTGTAATGCTTCAACCAGCATCCTTTTTATGAGATGGCTCAACCCTAACAAGCAGCAAAATTATGCCCGAATTACAAGATATAATTCAAAAAATTAAAATTCTCAAGAAAAAAGTAAAATGACTAAAGAATTATCAAGTGTCAAGTATACTGGGTGAACAGTGTCATGCGTTGTAATGCCATTGCTTTTTGTAGTGCTGGAAGCTCTTCAAACTCAGAAGCAGTGTAAGGAGTATCCACCAAAATCTCCCATGTGATCGAAAGCACCTATCTTTTGACACAGTGATTCTGCAGTACTCTAAAGTTGCCTCTCAAGTTAGAAAAGTACCCTTGAATATTTAAAATATTAAAAAAGATTACATGATATTACAAAAAAATTAATATTGATAATTTAAGTTACCTTGTTATCCCCTGAGCTGTCATGCATGAAAGTAAAGCATTTCTTACTTCTTCTCTTGGTGGATCAAGCATTCCGACCTTTAATTTTATTGAACATAAAAAAGAGTAAGAGAACAAGAAGATAAATGGCAACATGAAGACAATATCCAAATCCAAAAGATCGATTATTTTTACGCTCAACAGGGAGAAACTAAAATTAATAGAACAAAATTTGATCAACCAATCATAGTTCAATAATGACTGTCTCAAAGAGAATGTAAAGCATTTAAAACTTGTTTTACGTGCTTTTACATTGTTTATTTATCTCCCTACAAATATCTTTTCATTTGAGAGAAAACCATTTGAAACTTCTAATAAATTCTCCTTCCCTCTTTCTTTTCCTTTCTCTAGATACAACCCAACCAAACAAATGAAAGGGTGGGTGATACAAAGCATGACAAGAAGAAAAGTGGCAAATCAGCGATTTCATATGGAGTGCACCCTAGACATTATACAATCATGTTACGGTTAATTCGTCCACATTCCAAACCCTTCCCCAATCTTCCTCTTTCTCTATACAAAGGAAGCAAAACACTGTTCCAAAGTTACTACTCACAATCCCAATTCCCAACCCAAAATCCTTCCCCAATCAAGCATTAACCAAGCCTGATCCCTAATTATACCTGTTGGCCTACAAATTAACAATTACATCTCATAAATAGCTACTTTCCTAGAACCTTCAGTAGCCAATTCTGAAATCTTGCAGCCACAAGAATAAAACTCACATTTTCATGTACAAATCCTAAAAGCTGCCATCGACCTTTTAGGATCCTAAATCCCTTACCCTAACTACTTTCCATGACCATGACCCACCACAATTCCACTTGTAGGTATCCTTAGGCTAAGTTTTCTGAAGTAGTTCTTCATTAGAATAGTATGACCATCAGCTTTGTATCAGAAATGATCCTTCCTTTCCTTAAAGCCATAAGTTTTCTTTGTTTAATCTACTAACATGTTTAATAGCAAAAGCCTTTCTTCCAAGTTTGATGCCCTTTTGAAAGGTAACAAAAATACTGAAACTACCAAGGAAGATTTTGGCATTGATCTCTCTCTCTCTCTCACTCAAACCACCACCTAACAAAGTCACTAGTGGCCACCACCAACTTCACCATCGGTGGTCATCACACCTGCCTCTGAAACTTACATGCAGTAGCCACCGTCACCCAACATCTTCTCCAACTCCAACAGCAGTCTACCATCATGAGCCATCATTTCCTGTGTTGGGGACCTGGTACAACCCTCATCATCTTCCTCTTCCTCCCTCCTTCCATCTTCATCAATCAAGCTCTTCCTCTATCTCTCCAGCTCTCGTTCACTCTCTGGAAACAACTAATTTAAACTTGACAGATTAACAACTTAAACTCTAAAAATGACACAATTTCACCATGACCAAAGCAAATCTAATTGCATGTTGTTTATGTTTGGAGCAGCTCTACAAAAACACATCATAATGTCAAAAGCTGTTAGGTCACATTTAAACAAAATATTTCTTAGTGCCACCATGCCAAATTAATAGAGCTTTGGAGTGGTTCATATTTGCAGCATTCATAATATGATATGAACAAGGTTGTTCATTATATTAGTTGTTCCCAAAGTTTTTAAGGGCAAATGCATAATGCAAGGCAAATTAGCCCTCATGAGGTGAGGTGTAAGCCTCAAGATAATGAGGTGTTAGCATTTCAAATTTCAAATTTTTATATTTAGGACATAAATAAAGTATTTTAAAGTAGTTAAAAAGTATTAAAACTTAAATATAAAGGTGTAAATACTTTTCTCCTCAATGCACTGAACATTTCACTATCGTCGAGGTGCGTACAAGCTGTCCTACTCGGTTATCGAAGTTGAAATCGACATTCTAAACTTTAATTATTAAGCTTCTTACTTAAGCTTTAGGATTGTGTTTCTTTGGTTGATCATTTACTTGATTTTTCCTATGAAATATAGTTACAAAAGAGGTTTTTCTTTTATGTTTAAACCATGTAGGAGACAAAGTTTAACAACAGCCCAAGACAAACTCTCCATATGTGTACTTCTCATATGTTTTTTTTGTGCAAGATGCATACAAGGCACACCTAAGGCGCATATGCCTTAGACAGTTGAGGCGCATGCCTTAGACAGTTGATGCGCGATTTTGGAAAGTGTTGCCTAAAAATCAAGGCCTTAATGAATTTTCCCTTAGCCTTACCTTGTAGAGAGCCTCAATAATGGCTTTAAAACTTTGATAGTCTGACATTGATTTAGAAGAAAAATGGCTTCACTTCCACAAGTCATAAAAAGATATTCTCTCCCTTGGGCTAATTGATTGGTTATGCTTGTAGATTGGCCCATTTTGCAAGAGTTAGTGCAAAGCTATAGGCAAGTTTCTTTCCAAAAGACATTTAAAATCATTAGGCCTGCGGTTCAAAAAGACATTTGAAATCATTTGGTTTGGTTTACAAAAGACGGTCCAGTTCTCGATTCCAATGTTGGAGAACCATAGATGGTCAGTTCAGTTCTAGGTTAAGTATAAAGCCAAACTAACCCCACCCAAGTGCATCACTAACCAGAACAGACCCAAAACATTCCCCAATCATGTAGCAATCACGCCAAAACCATTACCCCACTTATTAGCCTTCAAATAAACAATTAAATCTCATAAAATAACAGCTTCCCTGGAACTTTCAGCAGTCAATTCTGTTAATCCTGCAACCATACAATTTAGAAATCAAACAAAAATTCAACATTTTTTATCTACAAACCCCAAAAGCATTCTTTTATCTTCTACAACCTAACCCTCACAAATTTCCATAACCAAAACCCACTGCAATTCCACTTATAATCAGCATTACGCCAAGTTTCCTAATGTTATCATACTGCAAAGGGATTTTCAATCTTTCCTTTTCTTCTCTTCTCTTACCAACCATAGCATGCTGGACGCATGGTTCTAAATTGCAGTATTGAGACACATAACGGTAACGATCATGGTATAACAATATCAAGAGTATCAACTATACATACTGGGATCAGCAACTCACCTAAAACTCAATAATACACATCTTCAGATGACTTTAATCTTAACTGGTCATATTTTAATAAATATTGGGACATTTAAAAATATATTTTTCATACTGTATGGACTAATAAAATTAATGTTAATAAAAAAAAAATGGCCCCTTTTCATCAATTGAAGTTCTACAGTATGAAAACCTGTGAGAGTAAGAACCTGTCTTTCAATCCCACATCAAGTGAAAGGAGAGATGAGCAACCCAACTACAATAAAACAAAGACATCTACCAATGCACACTCAAGAGTCTCACATCGGCTAGTTACTCAAGCAACAGCCATCCCACTAGCTTTAAATAAGCCTTATAAATTATACCCATGAACAGAAAGTACTCAATCATTGGTTAGTCCGACTCTCCGCACCACATGGCTGAATGGATGACTAAGATGATTGTTTTAAATACATAATAAAGTAAGGTTCAAAAAAAAAATTTATTTCAGATATGGTGAAAAACCATTACGGACTGGTTTGTAACAGAAACCAGCCGGTTCAGGAGCGATTTCAGTTCACACCGGAAAATCAGTCAATATCCAAATCTGCCATCCTTAAACCAACCGTTACGTTACAAACTGAATGCTTTTTAGAACCACTAATGGACTTGTGGTAAGTAGTTGCGAGAATTAATAAGAAATTTCCACCAACCACCACATACAAGTAAATGATTTACCATGTGTGTGTTTCTGCATACATAAATAAAAATATAAGCTAAGAAGCATGGACACTTCTAAGAAGGTGGCATGTTAGATACTAACACTGACCGGACACTTCCTAACACGTGAAAGACACAAGTCCAAACATGTGCTGCTATTTTTTATAATTTTTTTAGACTCAAGTCATTTGAGGGACTCGCATTCATTGCTTAGGCACATATGAAACACATTATAAGTTTCAACAAAATAACTTTCAATAAAATATTTAGACTTTAGAATTCAAGGTATGCTATATATTTTTATTAAATTTGAGTGAAATATTTATAAATGACATATAATAAATATAAAAAACCATAAATTTGTGTGTTCCTCAAGTGTCGTGTCTTACATTTTTTAAAAAATTGTTATGTTGGCATGTCCATATCGTATCACGTGTTCGTGTCTGCACTTTTTTAGTATAGAAGTTAATGGATGTTACGCTAGGTTTTCAAAAATATTCAATTGGATCTCATCTAAGTGGCAGGAGCTTCTGATACATAGTTATTGTAACTTGTAAGCTTACTCAAATTTATATCACACTTAACGCTACTTTTACTAAGAAATTTATGACATAATCTCATATATACATATACCACTCATTTTTTTTTCCATAGCGGAAAGATCTAAAACATTTCCACGGATACCTAAATTTGATGAATTTGCTAACAAGTACAATGAAAACAGTTTACCAAGCTTGCCAACTTGCAAACAAGTACAATGCTTCATAGTGAAGGGTAGCCACATTCATGGGGTCTCAATAATAAATGAACGGGGCAATTACCAATCAGGGTTGACAAAAAAAATTTACAAATACGTAGGGGTACAACTATTTCTTGTGAAAACAAACACAATAAAATTTGCACCCCATAAAAACACCCAACCTTTCGTAAATATTTGCCCCACTTCCCACTGATTGATAGTTTCCCCTAAATTAATGAAGCATTCATGCAAATCACTCATTTTTGCTTCTTTTGTTCTTTTCGTCTGATTGAAGAAATGACCACTTTTAGTAGAAAGTAGTAACAACCTACTCGAATGATGATGGGAAAATCACACAAAACTTGTTGCAAGAATCTTGATGCCTAAGACTCACCAACAATACCAATCAACAAACTATACCCAAAAAAAACATACTAACCCAACAAATGTAAGATCCTTTTCATCGTCGAAGGACACAATTTGATGACCCATGGGCATCCTTTTCAAGGCTAGAGCAAGACATCGTAAGGTTTCCTTTCCTGCAAAACTGATCAATAAAAAATTCATATCTACACATAAGGCCAAGGGATAAAAATAAAAAATAAAAATAAAAATAAAAAAGAAAGAAAGAATTAGCCATATAACAAAAAAAAAAAAAAAATCCAAAAAACCATATTTCTCTTAAGAAACTCGTATTATTGATTAGGACTAAAAAAACAGGTAAAATGATGCGCAAGTCAAACAGATATAAAAAATTGCAGAAGGATTGACAATGATTATAAAAGGTACCAATATATTATGTGGGAAACCAAACCAGTAACCAATCAAACAGAGGACCATTGTCTGTATTTGGCCAACATCATGATTATTACAATGGAATAGCACACAAACAACCAGCAAAATTCGAAAATCAAATCAGTGGGATCTAATTGTCTCCTGATATCAATAATCCATGTCACAGATACAGATTGGATTTCTCTTTATTCAATCAAGAGTCATTCTCTTCCACCTTTGAACATAATTTAATTTTTCAGTTTTTTAATTCCTCCAAACTTTAGCTTAATGTCAGATTTTGGTCTGATTTAAAATTTCAATCTTTAAAAATATACAAGGTATGGAATATTCAATATATACTATATACATGAAAAATATGAATAATAAAATAATAATAATACAAAGGATTCACTTAATCCACATCTGTCAGAGCCACATGATATCAAAGATTACACATCTAGTTTTAAAAAATATTCCTTCCCAAAACTGAGGTTAAACTCCATCTAGTAACCGTCTATATGCTAGGGGCCATTGCTTGATGAAGTGGTTAAAGCTGTGACTGCCAAACGTGAGATTGTAGGTCAAGTTTGACCGTTTTGAGCAAGCAACTTTGAGAAAATTATGCCGAGTGTTAGGTCTTCTGTAGCAACAATTAGGAATAACCTTTTTTCAATTGTGTAATACGCTTGCATAGAATAAAGGTGAGGCCAAAAGTAAATATAAAGGGCACGAAGAACAAACTTTGCAATTCATTAAGGCCACATACAAAAAACACAAAATGAAATTAAGGGTTAAAAGTGGAATAAAAAAATAAAAAATGAAGTAGTTAACAGCTAGAAGACCCAAGTGTACCATTACAACACAAGCACAACTTAAAAGTGTCCAAGATTATAATCATTTCAAGAACGAACTATTGAGAAATGTAATTTAAAAAAAAAATTAAAAAAAAAAATAAAAACTTTAGGTGAATCCCATCAGTAAGGTTCAACACACTTTTAATTTTAAAGGTAACTAATTAAGCAGACAAAAAGAAATGAGTGAGGGGACACAACACTATAAAACAGTGCCAGCATTTACAATAAAAGGCTAGAACTATATGCATATGTCATGTTAAAATAAAAGTCAAAATCTGCAAAAATTGGAAAATGGTTGGTTTCAATTCTAACTCACTAGGGATCAATTCAAGCCAAGTAAAAATCAGTTTTTTCCGGCCTGGTAAAGTCTCATTTTATAATTATTTTAATAAAGTTAGTTTCCTATATGATAATTTATAAGTACTGGAAGTTTTATCCCAAAAAATAAAAAATAAATAAATAAAATGACAACCGAAAAATCTAGTTT